GCGTGGGTATGCATGCTAAAGTGTTAAACATCCTACTTTGAAGTAAGTCTGGGGATCTAGAGCCATCTAACTAAAGCTACCTTCAAGATTAGTTCAGATTAAAATATAAAATGGACAAGGCACTTAAACAGCTCTTCAAAAAAGCAGATATCCAAATGACCAGTAAGTACGTGAAAAGATGTGCAGTATCGTTAGTCATCTGGTCAGTACAAATTATGGTCACAATGACATACTAGTTTATATCCATTAGATGGCTGAAATAAAAAGGCTGTTGATAATACCAAGTGTTGATGAGGAAGTGGGTTGTCTGAAACTTACATATTGCTGGTCAGAATATAAAGTGGATGATCGCTTTGAAAAACTATCTGGCATTTTCTAATAAACATATTCCTTTTTTTTTTTTTTAAGTTTTATTTGTTTATTTGAAAGAGTTACACAGAAAGAGGAGTGGCAGAAAGAGCGCACGCGCTCTTCCATTCGCTGGTTCGCTCCCCAAATGGCCACAATGGCCGGAACTGCACCAATCCAAACCAGGAGACAGGAGCTTTCTTCTGGGTCTCCCACATGTGTGCAGGGGCCCAAGGACTTGGGTCATCTTGTACTGCTTTCCCAGGCCATTGCAGAGAGCTGGACCGGAAGTGGAGCAGCTGGGTCTCAGACTGGCTCCCATATGGGATGCTGACACTTCAAGCCAGGGCATTAACCCACTGTGCTACAGCGCTGGCCCCTAAACATATTCCTAATTTGTGTCCCAGTGCAGCCGTTCTTCTAGGTGTGCACCCAAAAGAAACATGGACGTTTTTGTATAAAAATATTAAGCTTATGTATAGTAGCTAAGGTTCATATTAAGCTATGTATAGTAGCTAAAAAACTGGAAGCAACCCAGTATCCATCCAACTCAATATAGTAATAAGCAAATTCTGATATATTCATGAAGTAGATTACTACTCAGGAATAAATAGAAACAAGTGATTGTTTCATATACTATGGATGAATCTCAAAGATATGTTAAATAAATGAAACCAGAGGGGAAAATATGTAATGCTTGATACTGTATACTGGCTGTATACTATATACTGTATACCTGTGGTGATGGAAATCAGAGTTGTGCTTGTCTCATATAAGGGGGTAAGGGAGTTGAGTATTGACTAGAAAGAATTAGAAGGGAACTCCCTATATTCTTATGTGGATGTTACACACCTGGGTGCATGTATTTATCAAAATCTATCAAACTATGTACTTAAGATTTGTATATTTTGGGGCCAGCACTGTGGCCCAGTGGGTTAATGCCCTGGCCTGAAGCGCTGGCATCCCATATGGGTGCCGGTTCGAAACCCAGCCACTCCACTTCTGGTCCAGCTCTCTGCTATGGCCTGGGAAAGCAGTAGAGGATGGCCCAAGTCCTTGGACCCCTGCACCCACGTTGGAGACCAGGAAGAAGCTCCTGGCTCCTGGCTTCGGATTGGCACAGCTCCAGCCATTGTGGCCATCTGGGGAGTGAACAATCGGATGGAAGACCTCTCTCTCTCTTCCTCTCCTCTCTCTGTGTAACTCTGATTTTCAAGTAAATAAATAAATCTTAAAAAAATACTTAAAAGATTTGTGTATTTTACTGAAGACGAGTATTAACTTGATAAAACATAAGCAATAAAGACAAAATAAAAATTTTAGATCAGTTTATCTGTTTCTGAAATACTCTAGAACATTTTGGTTTATGTTTGGAGATGACGATTGTCTTCTTTTTTCCTCTTTCATTTAGATAGCTTGAGTAGGTGACATCATCAGGAATGTGACACCATATTGTACTCATCTTAAATGAGCCCTGGCAGTCTTAACATGCTCTGCTTTGGTTGGGAGGGTTGGCAAGAAAGGTGGATTAGAGGTTTGCATTTCAGTGGCTTGGGGCCAACACAGATACAAGGAAAGGAAAAAGCAGAAAATTTCCATTCTCTCCTGTTTGACAAGTCACCTTCTCTTAAAGTGTGGTATACAGAGGTTGCTAGAATTTCTGTTACTCCCCCCCACACACATTGGATTATGAAAATTTCAACTATAAGCAGACTTTATAGTGAGCATCTTATATTTAACCACCCAGATTCTACCATTAGCATTGACTATACTCGTTTTGTCTCCATATCTGCCTGTTGCTTTACCCATCCATCAAGTCATCTGTTTTTAAGTACATTTTGGATTCTGTCATTCACTAGGAGTCATTTTTTTTCCTGCTTTTTTCTTTAAAATTTTCAATAAAGTACACAAATCTTAAGTATATTATGTTGGTTTTTAATTTAAAAGATCTTTTTCATTTTATTATCCAAAGAAAGGGAGTGTCATACGTGTAGAGAAAACTTCATCAGAGCAGACCTTATTTTTGGTATCATTAGTGAGTTGACTCCTTTGTCCTCTCCACATCCCTGCTTCTATTCTAGTAACTTCAGACTATAGTATTCATGTCACATTCAACCAGATAAAGACCACAGATTTGTTAGGGCAATTTTGTTTGTCAAAAACAAAGATCAGAGGCCAGCACTGTGGCTTAGGGGGTTAAGCTGCCATCTTCAGTGCCAGCATCTCATATGGGCGCCGGTTCAAATCCTAGCTGCTTCACTTTGAATCCAGCTCCCTGCTAAGATGCCTGAGAAAGCAGTGGAATATGGCCCGTACTTGGGCCCCTGAGCCCACATCGGGGACCAGGTTCTCCTAGCTCCTACTTCGGACCCGTCCAGCTCTGGCTGTTGTAGCCATCTGGGGAGTGAACCAGCAGGTGGAAGAGTCTCTCTTTCTCCCCCCCCCCCCCCCCCCCCCGGTCACTTTGCCTTTTAAATAAATAAATAAATAAATAAATCTTTTAAAAAAAATATGGGACCTGCGTTGTGGTGTAGCAACACCAGCATCCCATACGGGTTTGTGTCCCAGCTGCTTTACTTCGATTCAGCTCCCTACTAATGGTCTGGGAAAAGCAATGGAAGATGGCCCAAATGATAAGGCCCCTGCTGCCCATGTGAGAGACCAGGATGAAGCTCCTGGTTCCTGGCTTCAGGTTGGCCCAGCCCTGGTCTTGGGGAATGTCTAGGGAGTAAACCAGCAGATAAATGATTCATATTGTCTCTGTCTCTATCTGTCTGTCTGTCTCTTTTTCTCTCCCCCTCTCACCTTCAAATAAATAAATCTTAAAAAGAAAACAAGGGATCGGCGCTGTGGTGTAGCAGGTAAAGCTGCCACCTACAGTGCTGGATCCAATATGGGTGCCAGTTCATGTCCCAGCTGCTCTACTTCCCATCCAGCTCTCTGCTATGGCCTGGGAAAGCAGTACAAGATGGCCCAAGTCCTTGGGCCCGTGCACACGTGGAAGAAGCTCCTGGCTCCTTGGCTTCAGATCGGCGCAACTCCAGCTGTTGCAGCCATTTGGGGAGTGAACCAGCAAATGGAAGACCTCTCTCTCTCTCTCTCTCTCTCTTCTCTCTCTCTCTCTCTGCCTCCTCTCTCTGTGTAACTCTTTCAAAAAAATAAATAAATCTTTAAAAAAACCAAACAAATAAAAATTATAATCTGATGGAAACTAACATACCTCCAGTGACTAGATTACAACTACTTGTGAACTAGAAACAAAAATGGTATTTAGGGCCTATGAAAGATGTACATTTTAATGATAGCCCAATCTTGCTAACCATGGAATGGCCAGAATCCTGCCAGGTGACATTGCTAGATTTTAGAGCCTGAGCTGCCTCGTATATCTTTCTCTTCTTTGTTCATGTCTGTCCCTCTGAAGTCCTTATTCCAGCTGTGGACTTGGCCATAGGTGCTTAGTTTTACTTAGAAGTTGTCTTATCTTTATCTTACTTGGAAGGTAGGAAGGCAGCTGAACTTGTCTTTCTTCAGGCTAACTTTTCACTCTGTTTTTCTTTGTTACAGAGAAATGATATTGCCATGGCAATTACCAAATTTGATCAATTTGACTTTCTCATCGATATTGTTCCAAGAGATGAACTGAAACCTCCAAAGCGTCAGGTGAGCTGGGAAGGTGTCGCTGTTGCTGCTGGGAGAAGAGCACTTCGCATTCTGTTTCTCCCTTGTAGAGATGTTTAACTTGACACCTTTGAGGTGGTATTTCATTGAAAATTGAAAATTAGTACAAGCAGTAAAGTGACTTGGTTCTGTCAGAGCTCTTAATCTGGGCTAGAAGAATGTTTCCAGGGCATTACAGATTTTAGATTTTTTAAAAAACATCCTCTTGTGTGTGCAGTAGCATTTGGGGTGCATGGACTTTGTTTTCTCTTACCCTGTATTGTAGATCTCTGTAGAGTGTCCTGGCTGCACATTAGAATCACCCTTTGGGGCTTAAAAAATGCCATTGCCTGGACTCCACCCCATAGCTGCTGAATTGGATTCTGTGATTGTGGGGCCCACGCATTAGTACTTTGTAAAGCACCCTAGATGCTTGAATGTGCAGCCAAATATGCTAACCACCATTTAAACTGTTTATTAAGCAATCACAAGAAAGAATGGATCAGTCTTCCCCTCTTTTCTGCTTGCCCTTCTCCAGAGTTCACATCAGCTAGTTTTTTTTGTTTTGTTTTGTTTTGTTTTTTTTTCTCCAGCACTTTGGATGCGCACAGCCATTCATTGTGATTCCAGTGGACCCCTGTCCTGTGTGGTGGTTGTTTCAGGCACAGGGCTGGCGTGACTCACTAAGTGTAGTAGTGGCAGAGCTCTCACAGGAGCAAAGCTGTGCCTTGATCTCCTTGCTTTTACTAATATAATTTTAAGTGTTTTTAACAAATTATTTTATAGTATATTACCTGTAGAAACAGTCATCCAGCGACAGCCACTCTCCCCATGCTGGTCCATTTAATAACTAGTGTAGAAGGGGCCATCGTCACTGACATTTGTGATTCTGGCCCTGTGTGTGGGCCTCGGGGTTGGCGAGTCCTCCGTGATGTCTTAACCGGAGCACCGTGCGCCTCACTGCAGCTCCGCTCTCCCTGGGCAGTCTTTGCTGCTGTAAACATCCTTGACTGGAAGCTGTAAGGTGTTAAGAGGAGCTTTCAGTCGGATGTTTACAGCGGCAGGCTGCCACGGTCGTCCCCGGCTGCTCATCGCCCTGAATCATGGCAGGTTTGTGCCCCGGGCTTGACTCCTCCTCTTGGAGTGCTTCCCTCCTCGCTGAGAAGTCACAACAAGAACTCAGACAGCTTCTCTTCCTTCAGAGCAAACAGTGCCACACATCTGCTCTCCTGGCACACCCTCCCCCTCCCCGAGTCTGTCCCAGAAGCCCCCTTTACACACAAGCTGACGAGTTCTGTGATGAATGAGGCCTTGCACTCTCAGCGTGCTTCACTCCTGTTCTCTGTGGGCTGCCTGCTGAACAGACTGGCTGGAGAGAAAGGTCCCGTCCTGTCCCTTCCTCAGTGCCCTCTGTGCCTCTGGCCCTCTCAGATCAGCTCCTTGTTCTATCCTCGCTGCACTCGAAGGGCTGTTACCCAGCTTCTTGTAAAGGGCGTCTACTGAAGCACTGCTTGCTGCCTGGATTTACTTTTTTGTAGGTGTTCAAGCTATTGGTTGGCATCTTTTTTTGGGACAGCCGCTGCCTGGGCTTGGAGAAGTAGATTGCTGAAGGCTGGCCTGAAATTCTAAGATAGCATTTTTAATCCTCTGTAGACATGAAGTTTTCCCAAGTTCCAAATTGGCTGGCACCTCCTAAAGTCCTTTAAAAGTGCCTACTCTCCAAAATGCATCCCTTCTGAAGGAGACAGCAATTCACTCTTGCTACTAAAACGAATGTACTTTTTTTTTTCCAATCTGGGACTGGCTACACAACACTGTAGCGATGGCCCTGAGATGTGATGCTGCTCACTGTCTGGCCCTGTTTGTCAATTTCAACTTCTGAAAAGCTTTCAAGAGCAGACCCAGTGCTGGGGAGGCCACTACTGAAGCTGAGCAGGTGCACTGTTCTGGATTGATCCAGTCTTGCAGGGATTGTTCTTGCACTTGGCCTATCTCTTACTGCTAAAAAAAAAAAAAAAGGGAGTTAGCTAAAAACATTGAGTTGTGGCTGTAAGACCCTTGACTTCTCAGAGATGTTTGGAAATTTCACTTATTCTTCAGAGAGGAAAGTAAAAATTTGTTGAAAGTAGTTGAGGCTGGCGCCGCAGCTCACTAGGCTAATCCTCCACCTGTGGCGCCGGCACACCGAGTTCTAGTCCCGGTCGGGGCACCGGATTCTGTCCCGGTCGCTCCTTTTCCAGGCCAGCTCTCTGCTGTGGCCCAGGAAGGCGGTGGAGGATGGCCCAAGTCCTTGGGCCCTGCACCCGCATGGGAGACCGGGAGAAGCACCTGGCTCCTGGCTTCAGATCAGCGCGGTGTGCCGACCACAATGCACCGGCTGCAGCGGCCACTGGGGGTGAACCAACGGCAAAGGAAGACCTTTCTCTCTGTCTCTCTCTCACTGTACACTCTGCTTGTCAAAAAAAAAAAAAAAAAAAAGTAGTTGAGGCCTGACTTCTGCCCTGTAAAGCTGTAACTTCAAAGTTCCTTGCCCATTGTAATGTCCTTAGCTTTTCACTCATCTCTCTCTTTATTTATTTATTTATTTATTTATTTATTTGACAGGCAGAGTGGACAGTGAGAGAGAGAGACAGAGAGAAAGGTCTTCCTTTGCTGTTGGTTCACCCTCCAATGGCCGCCGCGTTTGGCGCGCTGCGGCCACCGCGCTGATCCAGTGGCAGGAGCCAGGTACTTATCCTGGTCTCCCATGGGGTGCAGGGCCAAAGCACTTGGGCCATCCTCCACTGCACTCTCTGGCCACAGCAGAGAGCTGGCCTGGAAGAGGGGCAACCGGGACAGAATCCAGCGCCCCGACCGGGACTAGAACCCGGTGTGCCGGCGCCGCAAGGTGGAGGATTAGCCTAGTGAGCCGCGGCGCCGGCCTCACTCATCTCTTTAAATCAAGTATCATCATTTCTTTGCTAGCCCGACCTCTGTGGCAGAGTAGCGAGTGTTACTGATGCAGAAGGACTTGAAGTATGCTTCTTTCTGTTGCAGTGATTTGCGAACAGTCATGCTTCATCGTAGCAGCACACCCCTAGGCGTCTCTGCTTGGTACCCACAGTGTTCCAGATGTGCCCCATGCATTCACAGCCGGAGAGGCTGCAGTAAGCAGAGAGGAGAAGCTCTTTTCCTGCCCTCACAGCTTTTGGCGAGGGGTATTTAAAGTGTTTGCTTTTTGTCTGGTAAAAAGGCCGTATTTGGTGCTAGACTGCCATAGCAGAGATAACTGGAGACAGAAAAGTCACAGTTCGGGGCTGGGAAATGCAGGTGTCTCCCCACCCCCTGACTTGCTACAGGCTGGTTCTCCTTTACCTTCTTATCACGCAAAGGCTTTTCCAAATTCAGTCCGGACTTTAGTGATTTGTGTTTTTTATAAAATAGAAAGGGAGCTGTCAGCAGAAAATAAATATATTGTACCTGTTTAAACAGTTTTGAAAAGTTGGCTACAGCTGCTTGGTTGAAGAAGGTGTCAGTATTGTATCCCTCCTGCAGGGTGACCTTTCTTTATAATGCTGAGACAGTGTTGAAGTGAATCTGGTATTATTACTGTTAAGTTGCTCTGGAAATTTGGAGACCTACATGAAAATAAAAGGGGAATCTCCCTTTTTTCTTCTGCTTCAGCATGGTCATGTCGAGGGTAAAAAACGATTTGGAAGTATTATCTCTAGGCTGGGTGCTTGGCCATCAGGGAACACTGTTATGCAGAGACCCAGGTGTCCCAGAAACAAAATGTCAGCCATCCTAGTCTTAGCATCCAAGGCCTCCAGTTACCAGGCAGGCAAAAGAATGTGTAGTCCCGTTCTGCTGGGAACACTGGTTTCTGCCCCTCCCTTGGCTGCAGAATACACGTGGCAAGGGGAGGGCAGGGGCTCTCCTAGAAGAGAGCTGTGGTTCAAGAGACTTTGTCGTGCCACCAGCTTGGATCCAGAGAAGTACGCTCCTGCCTCTGTATAAGTCCAGCTGACTCAGCAAGCAGTCTCTGAGTGCCTTTGTCGGAATCGGAGGGATGGTAGGAAACCAGAGGGGGCTGGGTTTATGTTTCAGCAGCATGAGCAGTGAGCTGGACGTGTGTAATGACAGTCCTGTGGAAGCGTGGTTTGGGACACCTAACCTAGGGAGGAGGCGGGATGAGCAGCATCTGAGAGCTCTGAGGCAGGCCACAGGGACTCTGCACCTGGAAGAAATGTGTTTTCTGGACCTGACAAATTTGGCCCAGAACAAGGAAGTGAGTAACTGAGCTAATATTTTTACTTAGGCAGCCTGAGTGGTTGTGGGCATTTGTTTTTGTTGTCCCAGGCAGGGGCACCGTGTGTCACAGGTCTCTCCGGATCAGATGCCAATCTCTGTCAGTGGTCAGGGGCTGACCGACCCCAGACTGGGCTGTACCCATGCTGTAGTGTGTGTAAACATCCTACACTCTCAGCTGTGAGCTCAAGGTGGCTGGGAGAGGGTTGTTTACTCCTTCTGCCATGGAAAACGTCAGCTGAAGAAGGAGCAGTCTCTTCACTCGGCAGGTCGGACAGCATGCGGCTTCCCTAGTCAGCCACAGCAGCGCCCTGGCGGGGGGCTGTCTGCAGACCCCTGGGCTGTGCTTCTGTGGCTAAATTCAACCAGAACCAGATGTGACACTGGCGAGACAGGTCCTCTGTGACCACAGAGCTTTCGGTGTGCTTTGAAAACCTGGACACTTGTCTACCGGTGCTCTGGAACCTGACATTTGATTCTGAAACTGTAGCCCAGGAGAAGTGCTGTTTGCCTTCACCCTGCCTCCCTCCCAGGTAGTGGGACCGAAGGAAGAGGAATGTTGCCTGTTTGGGAGGTGGGGGCCACCTGAGAAGCTTGATGTTTGGGTAACATCTTCCCAACACTCATAGTTAACACTGTCCTCAGACCGTGGGCCTTGACACCATTCATGATGAGCACTGCTGCTGTGTGGTTTTTAGTTACAGCAATTATTTGCCCATTTGCAGTTCACGCAGTGGGTGATTACTCAGTACTTTAGAAAATTGGCTGTATGTTTTGTGAAGCCTATAGAAATCTGTTATTTTTAGTTTGATTTCGCACAACTGGTCTCTTCAAATTCCCCTTTCCTTTGGCTTCAAATGTGGACTGCTCAGCATTCAGGAGGCTACCGCACATAGCCTGTTTTGGGGGAAGAGTGGAAATTCACTGTGGCGGTTGCTGAGTCAGTTCTTTCCCTCTTACCTGCCTCTCCTTCCACCCCACAGGAGGAGGTGCGCCAGTCTGTGACGCCTGCCGAGCCCGTCCAGTACTACTTCACGCTGGCTCAGCAGCCCACAGCCGTCCAGGTCCAGGGGCAGCAGCAAGGCCAGCAGACCACCAGCTCCACGACCACCATCCAGCCCGGGCAGATCATCATCGCGCAGCCTCAGCAGGGCCAGGTCTGTGAATTGTCCCGGGCATGTACCCAACAAGCAATACCTCTTTAAGTATGGATTGGGGAATGCTTGGCCAGTAGAGAGAGGGAGCTAGATCGTCATGGAAACCTGGGCTTTTTCTAGGTTCAGGCTACAGAGCTGAAGTGTAGCCTTGATCTCACTGGACCCTGTTTCCTTCATGGTTCAACAGAGGAAAGTACAGCAGTCAGGGTGTACTCCCAGATCCCTGTGACCTCAGAAATCTCAGAAGGAAAAACGTTCTCTGTATTGTTCCTGTGAAGAGTAGTGAAGTCACTGTAGAAGGTACTTGCAGTGGCCTCCATCCCCACAGTGTGTGTGTGTGTCTCTTCAGAACTGGACTTTATGCCTTTAAGAGGGAGGAGATGAGCATCATCGCCCTCCTGCCAGCCTTTCCTCTCTGTCTTCCCCTCATTTCTCTGTCCCACCATATTTCCTTTACGGTGGTAGCCAGAGGATTCTTTCCCTTCCCACCAGTACTGCTGAGAACAGTATCTTCCATGTGTACTGTGGGTCATGAGGCCACAGAGAACTCTACTAGGACTTCCGAATCCAAATCCTGTCAGTCATTTATTTATTCATCAAACATTGAGCATCCTC